AGTGGCACAATATATGAAATGACTGATCACCAGTCGGGTTCATATATTTTTTCAAATTACCTTGACAATGATATGAATCCATTCCTCCCACTACACCCCAGCTATGGGTAAATAGCAGAACAGACTGGATCCTATAGCCTTGGAGAAGAACAAATCTGAATTCAAAACCTGATTGGGGGTGGGGGGGTCGTTTTGGAACGTTGTGATACAACATGTGCACCAGTTCTCTGTATTCAGCTCGCCTAAAAGAAAGTGCACTTGGTTTTACACAAACCTTCACCACTATTATCAAATTACGTGTGTAAGTCGACTGGCTGCTCAACCCTCATATGTCAAAAAACAATGCTAAACCCTCATATAAAAAAACAATATATCCTATATATATATATATATATATATATATATATATATATATATATATATAAAACACTGTGTATTATATCTGAAATCTTAATAAAGAAAATGTTTTCTCTGGTAGGGATCATCCCTGCTGGAGAACATATTCTTATTAAGAAATAAGTTATTTTTGTATCTAGGAGGACATCCAATTTTGTAGTTGAGCAGATTTGTTATTTTTTTGTTGCAAAGAGAAGTGGTAAATTTATGGATGTTGGTGACAACTAAGGCATCAAGGAGAGGAATTTTATTATTAATACCGAGTTTGTAAGTGCAGGATGGAGTTATTCTTAAAGGTTTTGTAAAGCCTTATCCTAATATGAAAATGTTGATATAACAGACATATATGTGGTACTTAGTGAGTTATTATTATACAAAATAAAAAGCTTGCATTAAATAGTCACCACAAGAAACAGTATTCTGAAATGCATATATATATTTGAATTCTGAAAGAAACTTAATCCATATTCAGTAATAAATTTATTCCATTGAATATAGGTATATTCATCTCATCAGACCAGTTACATTTCAGAAAATATATTTTCTATTTATATGTTATTTTTATAGATACAATTATTTAAGTAAATGTTCTGTTTATAATAAACAGTATTAATTACATTTATATTTACCTGCCTGAATATCTGAGAAATTTTGCAGAAAATGTGTGTCTTCTGACAGGAATCGACCCTGCATCCTACATGGAATCATCATATAGCTTGACATGCTATACCATTTAGGTACAGAGGAAACATCTGGTTAGCAAAGTCAAATTACTGTTTTTAAACAAATTTCCCACAATCTTTCTCGAATGAACATATCTGCTTGAAACCTATCTTAAACAAATAACAATATATATTATGAAAGTCCAACAATTTTTTAATATTTTTTTGTTTATATGTTATTTTTATAGATACAATAATTTAAGTAAATGCCCTGTTTGTAATAAACAGTATTAACTACATTTACCCACTTGAATGTCCAAGAAATATATGTAGGATTCAGGTTCGATTCTTGTTTGGGGGTGGGGGCACATTTTCTGCAAAATTTCTGACATTCAGGCCAGTAAATGTAGTTAATGCTGTTTATTGTAAACATAGCATTTACTTAAATAACTGTATGTATAAAAATAAAGTATAAACAGAAAATATATTAAATAATAGTTGGACTTAATTGATTTGATAATTTTTTTCTCTATATATATATATATATATATATATATATATATATATATATATATGCCCATACATACATAAATACACAATAAATAAAAATAGATTTTTTTTTTTTTTAAATCTGTACAGAATATAGACAAAGGAATTCAGTTTGTCAGACAGGCACCACACTGGATTTTGAAAATGACCAAGATGGCTGAAAATAAATGAACAAAACAAAAAGACAACATGAACTTCAGACATTTTATCTACAATTTTGATCACAATACAAAACACTTTAAAAATCGGAAACATACAATAAAAAATTCAACAGACAGACCTAGTTGGTTCTTTATAATCAAATGTTTTTGCAGATTTTATATATATATATATATATATATATATATATATATATATATATATATATATATATATATATATATATATATATATATATATATATATATATATATAAAGGAATAACTATAACAAAGTGGTAAGCGTTTTTGTGTTGCATGTTCCATCCTTTACAAATTCAGATGTTTACATTGATGTGACTACACATGCACACAAAGAAGTGGGGGTGCTGAGAATTTTAAATTAGATTTTTTTTTTTTTTTTTTTATATTTTGGGTCCATAGTCTAGCCAATTTCATTTAGTTTCTTTTTCTTAATTTTGTTATTAAATATTCCACATGATGATAACAGAAGATCTACCACAATTGTTCATGATATATAAAAATTTATATATCATTTTTCCCTATATATAGGAGTTTTGTTGGTCTCTTGCTCAACTGCAACCAACAGATAATAATAATCAAGGAGGTTGCAAGTCTAGAGAGTTAGGTGGCCAGATATAAGGGGTTGCAGAAATTGTCTGACAACCATAACTGGGTTTTCCTGCTTGTGTGGTATGGTGCAGAGTCCTGTTGTCAGACATAGGATCTTCTAGAAGCCACCCTTGAACCAGGGAGCACTACATCCTCAGAGCATTTGATGTAGGTCTCCATGTTGAGTCCGAGGCTCTGTGGGAAGATGAATGGAGGCATAACGTCGCCATTACTAGTGATCACTCCAAACACCTAAGTAATCACCATTAGATTTATTCAACTCTTTCCAAATCCACTGCATTATCCTCAGATTGACACCCAAACACTCTGAAATATTTGTATTAGAGCTTACAGCATGAACGTCAAGCAGTACAGCATGCTGTTTCTAAATTTTGTGCAGAAAGAATTGTGTCATGGTGCTCTTTTTCTCATGGACTGTACCCAACTGCCCCTTCTATACTGTGCTGGTGACAAAATCAAAAACAAACAACACAGATGTATAAAATTAAAAATATGAAATGATGACAATTTACTCATCGTACTCTGTGTGTGTGTGTGTATATATATATATATATATATATATATATATATTACAGTTTCTAATATTTTCATGTAATTAAACCAACAGATAGGTGGCAAAATTTGTTTTCATTAACAATGTCATCAATATAATCCTCAACAAATCTTGACAGGCCTTTTATCATTTCTCTACACCATTACATATAAATTTTAACCAAAAACAGTACTGGCTGCTCAGTCGATGAATGCCAAATATTTCCTTATAGGGAAATGGCTAATATTACCATTACCATACACTGTTTAATGTCATATGACACCCCCCACACCTTTTTCAATTTTCATCATTATTTTTTTTTTTTTTTGATTTCTCTTTTATTTCACTGGAAATTGCAAGTTGTGCCAACCATTTCTTGGTGAAACAGCTCTTGTACTTTCAGAAAAAATAAAAACAAAACACTGATAGGTCAGCAGACAGAACTAAGTGTAGAGAAAAGTTGATGCTCCATAACAAAGTTACAGAGAAAAATCTCTCCAGTAGAAAAAGAAGCACTGATCTACTTGGCAGGTGACTTAGTTGATATGATAGATGAACTAGTTTCAGAACTTCAAATAATAAAAAAAATCCAGTGGAATCACAAATCTTGAATCAAAGAGAGGGGGAAAAATATCTTATTTAGACAAAGACAAACAAAGTATCTTTTATATAACAAACAACTGACAGTCACACTTCCTGGTGCAGAGAATTATGGGTATTACAAGATGTATCTAATGAAAGATTCATGACCACAGTTCTGTTTCTTGTAATGTAACTAGTTACCCAAAATAAAACCAAGCAAAATGTGAAATTCACAGCTGAAGATATGTAACAAAATTGTTTTTAAAGAATCATGGGATAGGAAGTTATTCAGGCATTGTAGAGGTAAATTATTCAGATTATAATTCTCATCCCAAGGTAGTTTTAGTACGTATTTTCATGCTGCCTTCAAAAGGCTGTGGAGCATGAACAGAGAGAGAAGTGATAAAATATACATTCTCACTCACCAGAGACCAAAAGCAAGAATATTTTTAGAGATGGTTAAAATTGTTCAAGCATTTAATATTCTATAGCTTAGCATGTTTAGAGTGTGAATAGAAAAAGTTGGTTGCAATTTTCAAAATGAAATTACTGAACAAAGAACCTCAGTAAACTCAGGAATCCAGATCTATCTACACATTGTCCCTTTGTCAATAATGTCTTTGTTGAAAACAACAAAATCAACAATTTTTTTTTTTTAAAATGATGTTCACCCTGTACAAGATCCACTTGAGGTAGAATGCTACAGTTTACAAAGCACAGTTTATAGGGAAGACAATAGTTAACTCTAGACTTGAACAGGTTAAGATGATAGTGATTGGGGAAGCATCCTCTTTGGAGTCAGTTTCACAAAGCAGCAGTTCATGGGAAGAATCTGCATGAGTGGAACTTGCATCTTACCAATGAAGGGATTGAGGGTGATTTGATACAATGTTCAGGGTATGGTGGATCTTAGCCATGAAGGTCAAAACTGGTGGAACTAAGGAATGTAATTCAGCTGAACACTTTTGAAGGAAACAGTGATAGAGCAGCAAGAGACTTGTGACATTTCATCTGTGAGAAAGGGATTGCAGAGTGGAAAATAATTTGTCACCCAGAAGGACGTGGAGACACTTTTGGACTATATTGAAACTGGAAAGTGTATGGCTGCAGGATTTCAGTTTTGGCCTGATCTGGCTCTTATAAAGGTAGAGGCTAGCAGAAGGAGTCTGGTACATACTGGAGTGGTACAGGGAACTGACCATTTTTCCTGCATCTTTATAGACAGATCATATGTACAGGTGCTCAAGGCATGGGTCCTCACTGAGGGAACACCTGTTCATCATGATCGGTGAAAGTTCTGTGTCTGTTTGGTGATGATGGAATGTCACGAGTTTGATCTTTGAGGTACTGAATGTGAAAAGCCAGTTTGTTCCCCACTCAGCGGTTAGACATGCAAAACTAAGATTGATTCATTGATTGCTTTTTAAGGTTTATCAACCATTTGTGGGTTATTTAAAGCCAAAATACATTTCAGATTATAGGAAATTGCTTACAGTACCCTGCATTCCCAAATGGTCCCTCTTCTAAGTACTGACCAGGTACAACATTTCTTAACTTTGGTGACCAAATGAGAACCAGTATTTTCAGCATGATTTGACTGTAGGCACAAAAATAAGAAATAATATTGCTGTTATTGAGACAGCAATATAGAAGATGATAATGATTTTATTTTGGTCTTCAGTGTTTCCTGTTTTTTAATGAACAACAGCAGAGTCTGTGAAGTAGGATCTTCAAAGCAGCCACCCATTTGACCAAAAGTTAATAAAATAGATAAATAAATTAAAATTTTTTGAGAACAAGCTGCAATGAATTGGACACTGAAAATTTCTGTTTGCAGGCTTGTATAAACAGTCACAATTAAGACAATTCTGGACCAACTATTTGTAAGAATAAGTTGTCCACTGAGGTAGTTCCAGACTGGCCATTAATAGGTGCACACTGTTCATCAAAAAGAATTGCCACACACTGTAATATAGAGATGGGCAGTAGGTCAGTATATGAGAGAGAGTTCTTGTTGGTTTAAGGGAAAGCTGATCTACTAGTCTGGCATGATAGTATTAGTAGTAGTAGACATTATCCAAAGTGTCACCTACCCCTATCCACCTACCCTGATCATATAAGTGAATCCCTGAATAAGCAGGCAAATATGTTAGATATAGGGTTCAAGTTTTCATTTTCTCACTGTGGCATTTGTTTTCATGTGAACACACAATGGACCTTTTTTCAGTTTTTGTGCACACCAATGTGAACAAGAAGTGAGGCACAACATGGAGTTATGTGTCCAGTCAGTAAAAAACTGAGTGAGGGTTACATCACAGGTTTACAATAAGAACCGAATAGAATCAGACAAGTTGGGCATTATAATAAGGTAGATAATGCAAAATGTAAAAAGAGAGACAATTTAACAATACTTTTAAAAATTACCTGTACTAAGAACATGGTCTTGCATATATTTGCACCCACTTCCATTTTAGGCAATAATCTTTGTCCTTGAAATATTTATCCATTTTTAACTTCCAATTCACTCCAATTTTACTGTTTTTACAAGAGTTGGACCATTTATTTTACCTGCTGTATACTTTCAATTAATAAAATTTACTTGTGGGAAAAGAACAGGAAAAAAATTAAATCAAAGATTGTATTTTTTTTTTTAAATTGAATGCTGTAAGTATTAAAAAATGTGTCAATGCTTTGGATTTACTTTTGAGTATAGTAAAAAAAAGCAGTAAAATGTTCAAGTCTCAACACCCCAGCAAAATTATTGCAGGAAGCAAAACAAAAACTGTTCAAAATGTTGTGGGCAATTCACTTGTAAGTGAAAGAGCTGCAGACTTTAATGAGTTAGGTTACAGCAAACACAAACAGAATTTCCAGAGCATAAAACTGGATTGTAAAGCAGACTAAGTTAAAAAGAATCTGATGCTTAAAAATGAACATATTAAAGCAAGACAGGCTTTTACAAAATGGAGAAATGAATCACTGACATTAAAAGTAAATAGAAGAAGGTATTAAAATCAGGAGAAATTAAAGTAGAATTATTTGGCTAAAATTCAAAATACTACATGTAGCAGAAAACTGGCATATCACACAATACACTGAACAAAAAAGAAAGTTAATTCTCAAGTATAGGGAGTGGGTTGTGTGATAATTTGGAGGAAGGTCTCTTCATCTGAGCCAGGAGAGTGTCACCATTAAAAGAAAAGTAGAAAGTTGCATGTATTGCCAAATTCTTGAGAATCTTTTGGAAATCTGCCACTTGGATTGCAGTTTCTTCTTCCAATGGGACAATAGCCCAAAACATACAGCCAAAGTTGTTCATGAATGATTCTGATTAAAAAAAAAAAAAATGTCAAAGTTTTGGACTGGTTTATGCAAAAGCCAGAATCGAACCTTATAAAAAGCTTGTGACGACAACTCAATATGGTGATGCAATGTAGACCGCCATTAAATTTTGTGGAACAGAAGCAATGTTGTCATAAAGAATGATATGAAATACCCACTGCTTGATCCCAAAAATTTTAATTGATTGCATGTAGTTATTGAGACATATGGAGTAATTGGCAAAAATGGTCAAGAAACAGAATTGATAAAGTTTCCAATAAACAAAAAGAAAGGGAAGAAAAAGAACCAGGCAAAATAATACTAGCAAACAATATGTATACAAAGCAACAGTAATAAGGCAAAAAGTTCACAAAGTAATAATTGTGTTAATACACAAAAATCGGTACAGATAAGTCATTGTAGCATCCTGACTTCAGGACAAGAAAGAACAGATAAGACCAAGAAATGGTTCATTTTTATTGGTTAGAAAGAAATCCCAACATATATCTGTACGATTTGTGTATAAATTTGGGGAGGAGGGAGTTTTTAGCAATAATTTCAAATACACTGGATCCAACAAGACAAACAGGGCTTCCATTCTGGATACCAAATGTGTGTGTGTGTGTGTGTGTGTGTGTGTTCCAGAACTCATTAGAGTCATAGAGGCATAATATTTACTACAGCCATAACAACAGTGGTGTATTTAGGGCAAGATAGGCAAATCCTCTTCAGGCTGGTTTTGAATTCAGAATTTTCCTTCTCCTAGGTGGGTTGCCACCTCAAGGCAAGAGAATCCAGTCTACCATAGCTGGAGGAAGATGGATTCATACTTTTTCCAAGGGTATTAGTGTGAAATGAATGAATAAGAAATGAGTGAGAAATTAATTCAGCACTGTTAATTGACTATCCACACTTACAATAAATACATACATAATTCTAAATAAAAGATGAATTTAGAGTTTTGGACTGAGGATCTCTAATATGTATAAAATTAAATAAGACATTGGGAGGTGTAACTTGACTCAATTTTTTCTTTAAATAAACAACAGATTTCTTGTGTTGATTTTCATTTCTTCTTCTTCACTTTGCTTCTCCCTGACCAATCACAAAAGTGGTAAAAGCTTAAATGATATGGGGTCTTATGATTTTATAGCAGGGAACAATCAAAATCTAGGTTTATGGTCATAACATGTTGAAACATTAGTTTCTGTATGATTGCTGAAATTAAGCAACATTGAGCCTGGTCAGTATCTAGATGAGTGACCACTTGGGAGTAAGCTTGGATGTACGGGTGGTATTATGGATAATGTCTCAGAATTTTTAATTGGAGTGCCGAGTTCCAATTTCAGTTGGTCAAATTTTCCAAGTCCTCTTTCCTCATTATGTGCCATAGAAATTTCAACTCTTTCTGATTGTAAGTATAAATATCCTTTTGATTTCCAAAAACTTTTTTATTTTCCTGAAACTTTCTTGTTGCTCAGCTGCTCAATCCATGGTATTCTCAGCATCATTCTGTAGAACCACATTTCTGTTGCCTTGTCTCTTCATCTGTGAGGAAATTGTCCTGCATGCACTGTCATATGTGACTACTGATATTATGTAACAGTTCAGTACTCTTTTCTTTGTTTCTAATGAAATTTTCCTGTTTCTTAATATTTTGCTTAGCTTTTGCATCTTTTATTACCCCAATGTGTCTTCGGATTTTGGTGTCAGATTTTCTGTCCACTATTTAAACACTTCTTAATATTTAAATTTTTGTACTTGTTTGAATTTGGTTTCTCCAATTCACAGTTTGCACCTTTGTCTGTTCCTTTTGCTGACAACTATCTTCTAACAACCGAGTTTAGACCTTTCTTCTTAGTTTCCTTTGCTACCTTCTGTGGGAATTCTTGTAATTTCCATTCCATGTCTACTATCAATACTGTGTCATCTGCATATCTAATATTGTTAAGATTGTGGGCACCAATAATGAATCCTGCTAGGACTTCTTCACTGTAAAAGTTGAATAAGTCAGGTGAGAAGACAAGTCCTTGTATTATGCCATTTTTTATTTGTATTTATTTATTTACTGAATTAATTTTCTATCCATATGCAAATGGTTTGCTCCCACAAGACACTTCAATATTGAGAAATTATCAACCAGGTAAAAGATTGTCTAACAATTACATTTCCAATGAGGTTGTATAAATTATTTTGAAATCTTTGCACAGAAAAGGATCTACAAACTCACAAAGTAGTTTGTCTAAGTTTATCAAGTAATATAAGATGAGTAGGTATCTTTAAATTTATGACTAAACAATTTTAGTATAGCAAACACAGAATTACCTCCCACTTAAAAAACAAAAGGATGAGTTGCATATTCTGATCCTGCTTTTGTATCTGGAAAGGCATACATCAGAAATAACAAATTAAAAACAATGTCCAAAATGCAATATATGAAATTTAATCTCTACAAAGAAAAATACACATATTTATCAATTTATATACAAAGACATTTTTGGCCAGTAAGCTCAGTGGAGTAGGAAAAAATGTCCATGTTTTGATTTCTCAGGATATGCTTTCTTTCTATATGCATTTCTTCATACAATATGGAAATATAGCTTGGCCTGCATCATTGTATTTTTTTCTTTTCTGCACTGTTTTCCCAGGATTCTACATTTTGAGTGGGTACATTTGTATCATGTGTTTCCACAAAGTTTTCTTCTCCTTAATAAGCTAGTACTCCAAATCTATAAGAATTAAATCTATATATATATATATATATATATATATATATATATATATATATTTTTTTTTTTTTCAACCAATAAAATCCCATCAGAAGGTTTGTTTGATAAACAATAATTACTTAGCCAAAATACTTAGCAGACAAAGTTGCAAACTTACCATGTGTTATTTTTAGACCATTTAGAAAATAATAAAAACAACTCCCTTCAACATGAGAAAAAGATTTTCAAGAGAAAGCATGAAATTATTTTCTAACTTATAAGAATTTTACATTCACAAAAGATCACACCTCTATGTGAAATCAGATTTTGGATCTATTTTATGGATATAAAAATAGAAGCATACTGTTTCTCAGGGTTAAAAACAATTTTGAAGGCCAGTTTCATCTACACATTCATAAAGACACACCCACATACACAACAGAATATGACAGCCAGCAGTCGCTGACTATGGCCTTGTCTATGAACTCAGAGATACATTAGGCTGACTGTTATAAAGTAAGTATGCCCACACATCTAACACCGAAGTATGAACTCTTAACTATTTGATAAAACA